ACTGGTCCTTGTTTCTGTGCTAAATAATTTGTAAGACATTGCTATAATAATAATAATAATAATAATAATTTTTACTCTCTACATAGCTTCAGAGTTTATAGAAAATGCTCACTAAACTGAGATTCTTCCTTACTCATTTGAAAGGGGCGTGTTACGAAGGTGACTTTTTAAAACAAATACTAGTGGAGCTCTGCAGTCACCGTTTTATTTTAATAAGGGAAAAGAGAAACTAGTAAAATAAATTGTGAGGTTTTGGCAAACATTGGACCATCGGTATTGCTTTTTTGATTAATTACTGATTCTTTTTAATATTATTTCTGTAGATTAAAATGTGTGGATGAGCTATGCTATGGTTATACATAGGCCAAGCCACACAATATTGGCCAGATTTGGAGAAACCTCTGTAAAGACAGGTCCTATCTACAGCCCCTCTCTCAGAGGAGCTAGAGGTGGAAGAGATGCCTCGAAAGATCACATGACTCAGTCCTCTCTTTGACACAGCTGATTGGACCAAACTGGAGCATTTGGCCATGACCTTGGCCAATCATATTGTTTTCTACGTTTTAGGGAGGAGTTGTAGGAAAGTTGGTTGATGAGAGAAATGGGGGCAGGAGGAAGAGAGAGAGAGAGAGAGAGAGAGGAGAGAGAACTGGAGAGTTCCGTCTGCCTGGAGCTCTGCTAAGCCTGGAGGGGAGCCGTCTGTCAGTCGGACCTAGAATCAGGGAAACTGCAATCAGCCAGTCCTCAGTCTGAGGTACCCCCACCACGTCATGGATGTATGAAACCGCCTAAGACCCATCACTTCTCTGAGGTTGTTTCCTGGTGTATAAAATGGGCTAGGGAAATTTCCTTTGTGGGGCTATGATGGGAGGGTCATTAGGGCTTTAAGATAATGGATCCAAAGAACCCTGACCAGTTTCGGGAATACACGAGGCTACGTACATGGAAACCATTATCCTTGTTGGTTTCCTCCCCCCTCTTCCCTCCAGTTTCCTGCACTCGCACCCTCACCCTCCACACTCTCTCCAGGGTCAGCGTTGGCATGTGGGGTGGGATGACCCCCGATTTATGCTTCGGCTTCTCTTTTTATAACATTACTCACTCTGGTCCCAACAACTTCCACTTTTCCTTGAGTGAAAGGAAGCTCTGAGTCTCCTGGTTCTGCGTCCCAGCCACTGGTGTCACCTCTTAAACCGGTGGTTCTCAACCTTCCTAATGCCGCGACCCTTCAATACAGTTCCTCCTGTTGTGGTGACCCCCAACCATAAAATTATTTTCATTGCTACTTCATAACTGTAATATTGCTACTGTTATGAATCGTCATGTAAATATCTGATATGCAGGATGTATTTTCATTCTTACAAATTGAACATAATGAAAGCACAGTGATTAATCACAAAAACAATATGTAATTATATATGTGTTTTCCGATGGTCTTGGGCGACCCCTGTGAAAGGGTCGTTAGACCCCCAAAGGGGTCACGACCCACAGGTTGAGAACCACTGTCTTAAACCAAGAGGTCATGAGACACTGCGGCTGGAGCAGGTGTCGGGCATCTCGCTTGCTGCTCAGGCTGCTGTGGAATCCGCAAGACCAACTTGGGGTTCTACTTTCAAGGATTTTTATTGTCTTCCTGTGAGTCACACCAAATAAATCTTTCTTCTTTTCTGCTCAGGGAAGTAGGTTTTGTATTCTTTCACTACAGAACCCTTCTGACTCTCAGGAAACGAAAGACAGTGTTTCTTTCTCCCAGGCTTTTATTCTACCAGAGCATTGGAAAGAGTCATTAATAACTGAGACACAGCAAAACAATGGCACAGTCCGTGGGGTGAAATAATTCATTAATATAGAATTTTAATTCAAGTCTTTCCTGCGAAGACACGGCTGCACCAGCACAAGCTTGAATGCAATCACTAGAGCTTGGCTTGCTTTAGGCGGATCCATAAAAACATTTCTGCCAAAAGCAAACTTGGAAGCAAGGAGAAATGTGTTTGGGGTCATTTCTCGTGTGTCTGGGTAGTGCAGTAGTTTCTAGAATAAATACATCAGGAGCATGGTAGAAATTTAATATCAATATTTTGATTTCCTTATTTTCTTAAGGCTGGATTTAAACGCTTGATATAAAGCAGACTTTTAATTTCCCATTTTTCAAAGACAATATGGAAAGGTCACTTTTGAGCTTTTTTAAAGTTCTAAGAGATGACGCATGGCAGCACAGCCGTCTCCCAGGTTTCAAAATCAAATTTCCAGCCACTGTTGTGCCTTTTGGTTTGGCAAACACGTGCCCCTTCTGCGTGTTGGAAGAGAGATTATTTTTATTGCTGGTTTCCGCGTTTTAGGTAGGAGATCTTCAGAACACTCCGCCAAACTCAGAAAAAGAACGTCGCACGCTTCAATGAGATAGACCGTTTGCTTCGTAACAAAATGCCTGATGCAGATTCATAAGAGATCTGGGAGGGTCCTCAGCTGCGTACTCTCAGACTTACCTTGAACACGGTCTTTTTTATTTTTTACCGCTTCCTTATTAGTAAAGATGACCGCATTCAGAAAGATGCGTGTTCTCGAGCTGGTAGCTTTGTTCCCAGAAACACAGCCCACAACCAACAGGGAACCAGGCCCAGCCAGGCCACCAGTGACCGAGGGCTGTCAGACCAGACCAGTGATGGCGAACCTATGACACGCGAACTCATTTTTTTTGGTTGATTATTCTTTGTTAAATGGCATTTAAATATATAAAATAAATATCAAAAATATAAATCTTTGTTTTACTATGGTTGCAAAGATCAAAAAATGTCTCTATGTGACACGGCACCAGAGTTAAGTTAGGGTTTTTCAAAATGCTGACACACCGAGCTCAAAAGGTTCGCCATCACTGGACTAGACCTTGCTCTCTGATCAAAAGCTGTGGCCACGTCTGTGCCCAAGGACATGGCTGGGCATCGGGCTGAGGAGCTGGTGGGGTGTCAGGGCGGAGCTGAAAGACAGCCCCTGACAGAGGACACTTCCCGGGGAAATGCCATGGGCCGCCCTGTGGTCTGGTTCCAGCTGGCCCAGCGGGCCTGGCCTGGCCGGGGTTTATCGCTGGGGTAAAGGGTCCCGGGATGAGCTCCTTAGTCCAGAATCTTTGAGGCATGACAGCGAATTCTATGTTTACCATCAGCTAGTCTGAACATCTCAGCTTGGTCTCAGAATTCGCTTTTAATTAATAAACATTTAGTGAAAGTTATGATGTGTTTCAAAGCCATCTAATTTCAAATTTACCCCAAACAGACATAGTGCTTATGTATGCACTCATTTCCGCTGGCAGAAAGGTAATGTCTTCAACGTTGGGTCCAAAAAAGGTCGGAACTCAGAAGAAGGAGGAAGGTGTTGCTCCCCCCGCCCCTGGCAAAACCTCCCTGAGCACCCCCCACCCCCAAGGGTCATTTGTCTATTCTTTTAAATCCCCAAATATTGCTAATATTGGTTTTCTTCATAAGGCTTCAAAAAAACCTACTTTTCTTTTTTTAAAAAATATATTTTTATTGATTTTTTTATAGAGAGGAAGGGAGAGGGATAGAGAGTTAGAAACATCGATGAGAGAGAAACATCAATCAGCTGCCTCCTGCACACCCCCTCCTGGGGATGTGCCCACAACCAAGGTACATGCCCTTGACGGGAATCGAACCAGGGACCCTTCAATCTGCAGGCGGATGCTCTATCCACTGAGCCAAACCGGTTAGGGCAAAACCTACTTTTTCTAAACTTTAATAAAATTCTTCTACTTGGGAAATTAGGAACTATTTGTGATCCAAGGCTTTCCTTAGTCCCGAAGAAAGGAGTAATTTCCAGGGTGCATGCTGTGAACGCATAAGGACAGGCCCACAGGCAGTCACTTACGCCAAGCCCTGCGACCCAGCTGAGACCATAGTGCCGGATCTGCCAGAGCTGGATTTACACCGGAGAATCACGACTCCTCTGACCAGTGCTATGACGTCATCTGCCTGACGGCGCTATGACGTCATCTGCCCTTCCCTGGAAGAAAGCCACCTTGCAGTGGACCACCTGCCGCAGCTCCCTTCTGCCCAGGAAAGCCTTTCATTTTGTCAAGTCCCCGTGAGGTCCCATCTGTCCAGTGGGATGCTGACCGATTCCTGGATTGTTAAATTCAGCCAGGTCTCCAAGATGGATTCAGTTGAATTTTGTTTTATAAGAGTGCGGTCATTAATTTCGCCTACGGTTTATAAGGAACATCCCTGTTTACGGGAACATCAATGGTTTCCAAGAAAAGACCCCGGATAGAAAATTATCAAAAGAATAGAAAGCTCCTGGCTTGTCTTATGATACCTACTAACTTTACTAAAAACACCAAAACCAGACTGTGGCTGTGATAGCGGGCTGCATTGTCGGGGCCTCCCTGCCATGGTCCCCACCGCCATGCAGGTCGGGAAGAAAACCCATTAGGTCAGGTGATCTGGGAACAGTGTACCCCGGGAAGTGCAAGAACTAACCAGGGATTGGCACCATTTAAAAAAGTAGTTTCTCCTCCATTTAGATGTCGCTTAAGGAGTTCGCGGTAAAGTTGGGATTAGCTTGAAATGGGTGGGCTGCAGGGGGTGCACACTCTTTCCCTCTGCACATTGGACAACTTAATCCTCGGGCCCCCACGACTCCAACCCCCAGACAAGCAGGAGCAAACAGCCACATCCCCGGGCTGTGGGAGGACCATGCTTCCCGGGCCCCAGGAGCTGGAGCTGGGGGAGCTGGTTTGGGGGCGCCGGGCTGTGGCTGTGGCTGTGGCGCCCACAGCGCTCTGCATCCCGGGAGTAAACCCCCGCCTGGATCTGGGGCTTTCGGAGGGGCAGACCCCGGGCGGGGCGGGCGGGGGCGGAGGCCGGGGCAGCCGGGCAGAGGGCAGCGCGCCCGGGCGCGGGTCCGAGCCGCCTTGGGGCCAATCAGCGCGCGGCGCCCCGGCCCGCCCCGCCCATCGGGCAGCACCGCCGCGGAGGCCGGGGCCGGGGCCGCCGGCGAGGAGGGGCCGAGCCGCGGGGGATCCTGGAATCGGCGGGAGGCGGGGATTCCGGGAGGAAGGCTCCATTTCCTCCTTCCCGCCGCGCCCCTCGCCCGCACCCCGAGCGCCCGGCGCCGCCCCCGCGGCGGGAGGATGCTGGGCATGTACGTGCCGGACAGGTTCTCCCTGAAGTCGTCCCGCGTGCAGGACGGGATGGGGCTCTACACGGCCCGCAGGGTCGCCAAGGTGGGTGCCCGCCGCGCCCCGCCTCCCGCGCCCCCCGCGGGCCGAGCGCGCCGGCTCCTCCCGGGGTCGCCGGGCCGGGTCCCGGGACGCAGGCCGGGTTCCGCGGGGCGGCCTGGCCCTCCGGCTCCGGCGGCAGCGCCACGTCAGAGCCGGCCGCGCCCGCTGCCCGGCCGGGGGGCCGCACTGCCCGGCCCGCGGCGGGATGGCTGGCTCCCCGCAGGAAGCGTCCGGGCAGCCGCCGCTCCGCACCGCGTCTCCGCGTCTCCGCGCTCGCTCGCCCGCGGGCGGGGGGCCCCACGCGCGCTCCGGCCCGCCCCCTCCTCGCCCCCTCCCGGAGGACCCGCCCCGCGCGCAGCCCACGCGGCCGAGTCCGGCTCAGCCCCCAGGGCGCTCGGCCTCCTTCGGGGCGGGAGGTGCCAACTGCAGGAGCCGCGCTCTCCGCCCCGGGTGCCCCTGACCGCCCCGGGTGCCCCCGACCGGGTCTCTCCTGGCCGAGGCGCAGAGGCCAGTGCGCAGGGAGCGCGTCGCCCCGTGCCCAGGGGACCGGCCTGGGGGCGCCGAGGCTGAAAGCGGAGGCCTGGGAGGAGAGGACTGGAAAATTCCAAACCTTCGGGTTGGACACAGTTGTGTCCTAGCGGTTTCTGTAAAGTCTAAAGTCGGCAGCCAGAGGCAGGGGTGAGGGGCCCCGGGGTACTGCGAGGCGCCGGTTACGGAGCAGGTACTTGGTGCAGGGTGCCTGGTACCCACCCACGTGAGAAACTTGCCCCGCACGCCGCTCGGTGAGAACAGCGGTCATCCCGGAGGGAGAGGCGCAGGAGCAGAAGTTAACTGCAGGGTCTGCCTCCTGCCGGGTGCCCAGTTAAGCTTCAAACCCATGGCTGCTGAGTCCAGAGCTCTGGGTCCTTCCAGATGGTTCCCTGCCAGCTTCCTAGCACCCCCACCCCACCCTCGACCCCCGGCCCTCCCCCTTAACAGATATGTTTAAAGATGGTGGTGTGGGCAGGAGCCGGCTTGTGCGGGTAAGGGATGCTATCGAGGGGCCCACAGGACGCAGCAGACACCAGGACGCATTCCCCAGCAGAGATCTCCCCTGCTTCACCTGCTCTCAGGTGAAGGAGGGGGACCAGCCCTCAGAAGGCGTCCCTGACATGCCCTGTGCTGCCTCGGGGCACGGGTGGACCAGAGGAGCCCATGTTCACCTCTCAGGTGGGAGTTTGAGGACTGCTCAGAGGTGCCAGGAGCGAGAGGCTCACCTGGCTGGGAGGGCTGCTGCATAGATGCTTTTACCAAGTGGGTGGATGTGAAATCAGCATCCTCTCAAAGCAGAGGTTGAAATTCTGCTTTAATCCTTCCTCTCAAGACAGAAAAGTCCCCAAATGGCCTTTTCTTGAAGATCTCAGGCCCAAATGTGAATATTCACACATTATTTTGTTTAATGTTACGAAGAGTGACATACTAAAAAGTTGCACAGATATTAGAATTATTACATAAGTCCTTTTTTTTTTGGCCTTATATTATTTAGGTTTTTAGAAATAGCTGGCCCTGGCCGCTTTGGCTCAGTGGATAGAGCATCCATCGGCCTGTGGACTGAAGGGTCCCCAGTCAAGGGCGTGTACCTCCCTTGCAGGCTCCATCCCCAGGGCGTGTGGGAGGCAACCAAACACGTCAATGTTTTGTTCTGTGCCTCCCTCTCCCTTCCACTCTCTGAAAATCAATGGAAGATATCCTGGAAGAGGATTAACAACAACAAAAGAAATAGCTGGTAAAAAAAAGAAAGAAAGAAATAGCTGGTCAGTGTATTTTATTTTGATATATTTAATAAGTCCAGCTTATTTTTCCACGTAGTTGATTATTTGGATGTTTTATTGTTTGGGGTCATAGCATGAAAAGCTTCCAAATCATCAGGTCCACATGCATTTGACCCTTGCATTTGCCTAACCACACACTGACGTTTTCTTGGGTCCTGTAACTTCGCATGTAAAACAGATCTCCATCCAGTCACACCTAGAACGCTCCCCTGCATTTCAGGCGAATGTGCAGGTGTTTGCAGTAAATCCATGTGACCTGTGAGTGGCATAGATTCGTGACGATCATCAGCTACTGAATCATGAGGCCACTGAGCACAGGCAGGGGTGTGATGCCAGGGAGGACCGAGGAGTGGGCTCCCTCTGCCTTGCCTTCCGCAGGCTGAGGAGGAAGTGAAGCTGGAATCGGATTTGGGGTGAGCCGTAAGACCCCCGCTGCGTGTCCACCCATCTTCTCCGTGTTTGCATGTAGGGTCTGCATTCCCAGGTGTTCTTCAAGTGCAGGCCTACCTCTGGCTATAACCAGGGGTCAGAGAGGAGAGTATCCCAGCAGTTGAATTAAGGGCCTTAATTTGAAGTTTTCATATTCTCTAGCCAGGCTTTGGAATAGCTCACCTAGAGAAGTATGTTTCGTAGAATACTGGCACCTCTGTTTCAGGAAATGATTGCAGTCCAGCCAGGTGTTGATTTCATACTCAGAGAACCTAACCCAGCCCTGTTCTGAGAGTCTGAGGTTCGGGGATCTTGCTGGAGACTTGGGATTCCCTTACCAAGAGGACCCTGGGAGCCTGCTCTGCACCCACCTTTCTGTGCAGCGTGTCCTAGAGTGGGGTCCCCGCAGAGAATCCGAAGGCAAGGCTCCCGCTCTGTCCCAGGTGTTGCCTTGGTGATGGCCTGTTTTGTGGGCCTGCGGCCTCTCCTTGGGTGTGGAGGGATGAGATCCATGTGAGGAGGAGGGCTCCATTCCCTTCCCTTCCCTTCCCTGTTGTTGCCATATGGGAATTGCACAAGGAGGGTCTCTGTAAGCCATGAATTGTTCTTGGAGAAACAAACCGTGGGCGAGAGTCTGTTGGGAAGCCCTTGATTGGGGCAAGGGGGGAGTATGCGCACTGCAAGGTGCTGGTGCTAGCAGGGGTAGAAGGGCACTTTCCATGCCGTGTGCCCCGGTGCCGAGTGGCATCGCAGCAGCACAGTTGAGTGCTTCGACGATGATAAGGTATCCAGGTCACCAAGTTTTACGCAGATGGAAACGAATACTAGTTATGCAAAGCTAACGCATTAATATACACGCAGTCAAGTTAAGCAACACACCCCCACGTTACATTTTCTTTATATCATGACCATTTCCCCCTGCTGGCTTATGCAGTAGTCCCCCCTTACCTTTGGGGGACATGGTCCAAGGCCCCGAGTGGAACCGGGGATAGTACGGAGCCCTATAGACACTACGTCTTTTCCTACATACACACCTGTGATGAAGTGCAGTGGTACATTAGCACAGGGGGAGATGAACAACAAGGACTACTAATAAAATTGGGCACAGGGATGAGCACGTCTCACCGACGGAGCAGGACTCCTGAGATTTCATCACACCCCTCAGCAGGGCCCCCGATTTAAAGCGAGGGAATTGTTTATTTCTGGAATTTTCCATTTCATTATTTGGGACAGAGGTTGGCCGCGGGTAACCCAGACCGAGGAAAGCAAACCCTAGGGGAGGGGAGCCACTGTGTCGTTAGTCAGTGCACAGTGGTGGTTGACATTATGCTCGAACCCAGCAAGTGGGAAACCATAGGTTGCTTCGAGCTCCCGGAGTGTGACTTTGTGGGAAGGTTGAAGGCGGGGATCCGCCCCTGCCGGCCTCCTGCCCTCTGGGGCCGGTGCAGGCGAAGGTTGTCCTCCCCCTGACTCTGCCAGCCATGCGGGCCTGCGCCGGGCTCGGATGCAGGTGAGCAGAGAGACCAGGTCTTGGTCCACAGGCGCTTGTTGTCCTGTGCGGGGAGATAAATGAGTACGCAAGTAGCAGAGGGAAGCTCACCAGACAGTGGACGCGTGTGTGTGGGAGTTGATTTTGCTGGGCACCATGAGGCTTTGTCTGCGCAGGGACATGGAACGGAAGCAGTTCCCATATGGTCCGACTAGTATGGCAACGGGCATCGGGTTGTGAGGTTGGGTGAAATGAAGCCATAGGACTTTTTTTTTTAAGAAAATGCTGCTGGCTCCTGGAGGCTCTGTGGGGGAGCAGAATCTCATGGGGTCACATTATTATGATTAACACTGCCTTCATTATTATTATTTTTTTAAATTTATTATTTAAGAAACTGATTTTAGAGAGAGAGGAAGGGAGAGTGATATATAGAGAGAAACATCAATTAGAGAGAAACATTGATTGGCCCGCCTTTTGCACGCCCCCTATTGGGGATAGAGCCTGCAACCCAGGCATGTGCCCTGACAGGGAATCAAACCTGTGACCTCTTGGTTCATGAGTCGGTACTCAGCCACTGAGCCACACTGTCCAGGCAATACTGCCCTATTGAGCATTTGGCCTTTACTCTTGCATTAACACTGTGAAGTAGATACTGTTATTATCTCCTTTCTCAGTTGAGGAAATGGAGGCAGAGAGCTTGGCAGGGTGACGCATTCAGTGTTGCCTGCGTGACACAGAGTAAGGGGTGCTGATTGCAGTGAGTCACCTGGCTTTTGTGCTCTCAGTCAGTTTGGATGGAGTTGGGTGGTTTGCAGGGAGAATTGTTGGAAATTCTTGGAAATTGCGGGCAACCTGGAACTGTCCCACGCAATCACGTGCTGGGAGTATGGGCTCTCTGCTTGCCATGCCCTTGCACAGACCATTCATTTTACTGCCCAGCAGCCTCTGGAGGCTTGTTACGACCCCTGATGTACAGAGGACACACTTGCTCAGTCATTACGTCTTCTCTAAATGTTTGCAACGGTCCTGGGTTCACCTTTACGTTTGTCTCTGCTTTCCAGTGCGTTCTCCATTCTTCAACCCTTCCCGGATCTTCAGACACCCAGTCCTCTCCCTGTCTATAGGAGCCCTTTGGGCCGTCCCCCCAGGTTTCTGGTGGCTAATTCCACGGGAGGCAGGAGAGGGCATTGCTGAGGCCCCGGGACTTAGCCCTGTGTGCACCAGGTGCAGGGCCCGCCCGGCTGGGGTCCCTCTGCTCCGCTCCCTTCCCTCGC